TCACGTATGTTAAACGTATGTGACACGTACGTGACTTCACGTACGTTTTCCATGAAAAAGATACCACGTATGTTATACGTATGTTTTCACACGTGTGTATATCATGCATGTCACGCATGTTAAACGTACGTATTGCCCACCATACGTTACACGTATATTGCACACGTACGTTACTCATACGTTTCACATATGAATAACGTACGTGCAACGTGTGTGTAACATATGTTTCTCATAACATGTTAAATGGGTTTATTATTTGCACTGCTCATATTGTAAATGTATTTAAATACCATACAAAAATGTGTCAAACCATGGTTAAACACGTTTGTAACATTAAATATTTTTTCACATATTGTAAACGTTTGGTGAAACAAAAATTACGTGCAATTTAAATATTCAATTCATGCATTTGACATAATTTCTCTCAAAGGCTTAATTTATTTTCTTTTCATCTGTTGAATGATCCACTTTCTGTTTATCCTTCACTTTAAATTTCCTGATCCTATTTGCTCTTGAAGCAATCACAACAAAAGACATATTTAGATTTAAGCCAAATTTAATGTTGAGTATGTTAACATCAATTCATTCTTCTCCAGTTCTCTTTTATCTGTAAAGAAAAAGAAAATATTAAATGCATGGAATAAGGGAAAACCCATTTTTCCCCTGAACATTACTATTATCCACATATTAATCTTGGTTGATTCTCTGTAGAACTTAAATATAAATACTAAAAAATTAATTTTTTAGTATTCATAACAATGATCTTTTCAACTATTTTTTTCACTATATCCTCAAATATCTACCTTGAAATTTTCTTATCTAAAATTCATTACAAAGCATTGATTTGTGGGTGAACTCGGAAAAAACTGTACATACTGATACCCCATAATGCCAGCTTATGGTTCAAGTTTCCCAAGTGCAAGTCAAACTCCAAAGTCAAGGTCAAAGGTCAAAATTGTTGACATCCAAGGACGGACTTGTCACAAAGAGTAAATATGTGACATATGAAAGCCCTACTACTATCAGCTCAAATTTAACAGTGGGTTAAACTAGAAGTACAAGGTCAAATATTTTAATTTATACCCATCATACTTGCCAACCTCCAGCATGTAAAAATCTGGTCATGACCAGATTTGGAAAGTAAAAAATCTGGTCATAACGCGTAACGACATTCACGACATAATTACCATGATTAAATTTTATAATATATATACAAAGTATTGGTGTATTGAGAATTCTTTTATTGAAAAAGGATTTAATTTACTATGACAAAAAATTCATATATAATTTGATTTAATTTACATGTTAAAAATGAGAATTGAAGGTTTCATATTTCAATATTGACCTGATTCAGAAGTATATAAGTGTGCATTTTTTTAAAAAGCCTTTTCACATGTTTCAGTTTCTGCTAAATTTGAAAGTATACCAATTTCAGTTTTGAAGTTATTTTTCCTCTCTCTTAACTAATTAACTAGTGTAATATTTTTAAATGTGAAGTTAGGCCTACACTGTCTTCGATCACTTTATTTTATCTAGAATGAAAGTTTTTTCCCCAAGATTCCTAGATATGTACATAAATATCGTTTCTCTTTTTCTTGGTTCAATCAGAGACATGTGTTTGGTTCAATTTGTTCCTGTTGGCCCTGATAACGATCTAGTTCTAATGGAAGCCATTTTAATTGACTTCAAACATTGAATTCTCAAAACAATAACCAGTTAATTGTTTACACCTGCACTGATAATTAATCCATCGGCATTGTTTACGCGTAGATCTAAGCTTGGGTTTTAACTGGAAGTTAAAAGTGCAACCTAATTTACGAACCAAATCCGGAAATCGGGAGATTTTCGGGTTGTTTGGCAAAAATCGGGTGATAAGCATGACCCGCCGGGTCATTAAAAATAATCGGGTTACGGGTTGAAAAATCGGGTGTGACCCGACGAAATCGGGTGAGTTGGCAAGTATGATACCCATTGAAAGGTTTTGTCACAATAAATATACAAGTGAAGTATGAAAGCCCTTGCACCAACTGTTCAAAAGTTAAGGCCAAGATTCAAGTTATGAAACTTTCTTAAAAGTGAATCATACTCCAAGTTCAATTCAAAAGGTTAATTTGGTGTACCAATACAAAAGTATTGTCACTATGAATACCCAGATATTTCAAAAGAGCTATAAAATAACATAAGTAGATCATGGTGACCTACTTTTTGGTCGACATTCTCCAAAGATGCCTCAACTGACAAAGTTTAACAATTCTAGGCCAATATAGACTTCTTTTGGTTTTATTTTCCTGATTATCTCCCCTTTTATAAGGTCCAAACCCTAATTTTAGTATAAATGGTAGCCCTTGGGCCAAGGATGCCCTGTGAAAATTTGACAATGATTGTCCAAGGGATCTTGAATTATGACCCACATTCTAACAAGAGGCCCAGGCGCCACATCGCTCACCTGAGCAATTTGCTAGGTAAAATCACACATCAGATCAGAACTGAAAGTTTGCTTGGGGGGGGGGGGGGCTTGAATTTTACCCCCCCCCCCAGCTGAGGGGTCATGATTTGAACAAACTAGAATCTACAATACCTGAGGATGATTCCCTATAAATATCACTAAGCATGGCTTTTAAGTACTTGAAAACAAGATTTTAAAAGGTTTCCCTAGATATTCCTATGTAAAACTTTGATTGGCCATTTTAGCCCCACCCTACCCCCGGGGGTCATGATTTGAACAAACTTGGATCTACACTACCTGAGGATGATTCAACATGAGTTTCATCTTTCCTGGCCTAGTGGTTCTTGAGAAGAAGATTTTTTAAAAATGCCATTAATTTTTTCTAATTCATAATTATCTCCCCTTGGAAAAGGGCCCAGCCCTTCATTTGAACAAACTTGAATCCCCTTTACCCAAGGATACTTTATAGCAAGTTTGGTTGAAATTGGCCCAGTGGTTCTTGAGAAGAAGATGAAAATGTGAAAAGTTTACAACAACGACAACGACAATGCCAACAACGAACAAATTTTGATCAGAAAAGCTCACTTGAGCCTTTGGCTTAGTTGAGCTAAAAAGTTTATGCAGACCGTACAAATGGCCGTAGCATTAGCTCTTTGAGCAATTGGCACAGAAGAGCTAAAAACAGTGTACATGTACACTTATATACTGGCTATGAGGACAATAGGTAGTTTAATTATCATCCCCCAAGACAACAACTATTCCCCAAGATGCAGACGAGGGAAATAGTTTGCTGTTGAGGGAGATGATAAACAAGCTATTTTCCGAATAGTAAGTAAATAGGAGTCTTATTATGGCACCTGATCCCACCTCTGATGTTTCGGGGTCCGTGTTTGCTCTGCTCTTATTTTGTATAGTTTTACGGACTTTGAGATTGAATACTGTTCGTTATCTCCATTATTAATCCTTCTATTATATACTGAAGCTGACTTGATTATATGTAAGGTCCGATCTGGATAAAACCAGAAGAGTTACAAAATGAAAAATTGAACTTACCTTCTGCATTAATCTTTAGCTTGGCATGGACTCATCTGTTTTTGTTTGTGTTCCAAGTGTATACTTTTTGTCCTTGAGGTTAAAAAAAAACATATGAAAAAAAAAAAAAAAATAAACGACTTTCACATTAAATTTTTCAAAAGTTATTCTCCTTTGCAGGGTCAATCCAGCATAAGGCCCTGTTTTCCCTCTGTAACCTTACCAAATTTAATGGTCGGTAAAAAATCTTTAAAAAAAAATCTGTAATGAATATCGTTCATTAAGATTTTCATGTTGCCCCAAACTTCGGCAATACAGGTACAGATCTAAATTGTTCAATAACGTTTGAAGATTGAAAATAATAACAGGTAACTTACAAAGGACAAAGTGGGAAAAATGAGAGTTATACCGACAAGGGAGATAACTCTTAGTAGTGTGAAATTCGTCAAACTTGATTGCATTTCAAATTTTACATGAAAAGCTTCAAGTTACATAAAGTATTTGCAAGTCTAAAAGCAATATGATTAGAAAATCTTATTCCTTTTTAAAAGTATTACCATATTCAAGATTATACTGGTTAAACTTTAATAATCTGTTTTGGAGTCCATTCTAGGCATATAGGTGTTTACAAAGATGAGCTTCAGTCACCATCCTGGAATGCATATCTAAAATCACATAAAAATTCTCAATCTCAAACACAATTTATATTCATAAGGATTAAAAGGGCACATATGTAAATCAAAACTGTTACACCATTATTGCACTCAAAGATAATAATTTCCTTTACCATTAACCCTCTTAGTGCCAGAGGGGTCATATATGGGCTCTACCCACTGGCTGCCACAGGGGTCATATATGTCCCATCAAAACTATTTTATTTATTAAGTTTTGATCTATGCAAGATTTAAGTTCATTATTCAAGAATTTATTCTTAAGCATTTTTTTGCTTCAAATTATAAAAATTGTATATCAAATATCTTGTATCCGTGCACATAATATTATACTGAAGTAGGCTACAACTGTAATACGTTGACGACGTAAAAGTCGCATTGATGACGTCAAAAACGTCACAATAGGTAATGGTCTATAAGTTATAAAGGTAATGAATAAAACAACTATTGAACTCTCTTTCTTATTAAATAACTATAGATTCACTTTGAGAACTACAATGTATATAAAAAAATGTATAAATTAAAATAAATATTAGCGAGAAATATGATTATGACTTCATAAATATATCATTCTATATTTCAAGGGAAGACTTGAAATTTATCCTTGTTAGCAATAAAAAAAGTATCATTATTTGCAAAGTATGATCAGAATACTAGAATTGTCTTTTTCCCCCAATAGAAAAACTAATAAAATTTAAGATGTTTCCCTTTTGTGTTATTGAAGGGCTAAAAATTTGATCCCCGGGGAGGGGGGTGGGGGGGTGATAAGAATTTGGAATGAAACATTTTGCCTTTGAAAATTTTGCATGTATGTATCTCTTCTCCACTAATAGGAATTATGAAAAGTTTTCTATAAGAAAAAGAAAACATTTTTTAAAAAACTGTCCCTTAGAAATATATATTCTGTCCTGGAAGGGTATTAGAATATTATTTAAACAATCTGACTCAAGAAAATCATACTACAACGCCCCCCATCCCCCAAGAATGTTAGTTTTCAAAGGTAAATTTCATAAATATAATAAAGAACGCGTTTCGTGACTGACTGAAATTTTGAATTGACAGAAGTCTAGGATTGCTTAATGCTGGAGGCCAGAACAGGAAAATTAGATTATGAATATTTATCTGATTAGAAATCAATCAGAAAACATTTATGTATATTTTGTGAAAAAAAATCTACTCTAACTCCTTGCGTCGGATGCAAAAATAATTTTAAATCAAAGTACTGAAAGTACTGTTAGACGGAGGCTTCATGTATGAGAGAACACAAAAGAAATATATGTGTCATACATTGCTGCAAAGAATATTATGAGAAATAATGTGTAGTTTTTTTTTTTCAATTAAACATTTTTTTTAAAGAATACTCCAATATTCATGAGGTTTTTGGGATATTATAATTTCATCTTTGTAATGTAAACTTCGCCTTGATTAAAGTTCACTGTTGTTTAGATGAGATACTTTCAATATTAAACCTTTCAACGTAAGAAACAGTAATTGACTAGGCCTGGTTGACATAAAACTTAGACGGGCTAACTTTTTATCCCAGTCTCACTTAAGGAATATATAGTGGAAAAGTGAGACTGAGATCAAAAGTTAGCCCGTCTAAGTTTTATGTCAACCAGGCCCGGTTTGATGAATGTAGGTTTAGTATGTTCTAGTCATGAGCCCAATGGCGGAATTAAAAGGGGCCCCTGGCCCTCTCCCTTTTGAGTCCTAAATACGCAATATTTGATAAATGAGTGTTTTAATTATGGCTGTGGGCCCCTTCCCTGACCTCAAACTGGTCCCCCTATTTCAGAATTTCTGGATTCAGCACTAGGCCTCAGCCTGTCAGGAGTCTCCATATTTCAAGATATCTTATTTATAGGTCACAGAGACCTACTGTTAACATAATTATGACATGTAACAGCTACCAAAATCAAAATTTCTCGGCCTTATTGTAATAATGTTATGATATGAGCTAACATGGAAAAAGAAGCAGCCAGGTAATTGGACATGAACAACTTAATATAGTACAGTTTGTCTTAAACCTTTGTGATACAAAATGGGGTGACCTAGCATGAAAGCAACACAGAATTTTCTTTAAGTAATACAACTTCATTAACATGCAATAAATGTTCGTGCCAGAACACAATTTTTTGAGTGGAATAAAATATACTTTCTTACTTTATGTATACAGAACAATCAAGTTCATAAGACTTGCTATTTCACAAGTTTAAATTGTTTTTGGAGAACTGGAGTATTGCTTACAATAACAAAGATATATCTTGACAAATTTGACAACCAATATTTCTGGAATTATTAAATGTAGTATTTTATCATATGACAGATTAACCCAAAAAATGTCTTTCTTAACTCGTATACCAGTGGAAATGGTTGTCCTTTTCAGTTTATCTGTTTAAAACAATCATTAACAATGAGACATGATTACAAATTACGTAGAGAAAAGTTATAAATATATAACTATGATTTCTGCTTTTCAGTAACTCTGTTAAAACAATCACTTTACCAATGATGTAGGTTAAAAAAAAATTGACATGAATACCAATGATCAGAAATACATGTAATCTTGTATATAAAAAATAATTAAAGTTTGGGATGTGAAAGAGGTAAAACACAAGTATCAAATGCAAATAAGGATCATCGATATGACAATAAGACAACTTATTTCAGAAGATATGATTTTTAATTATTAATTAGGATATTATGTGATAAATCAGGTAAATCCTATGAACCAAGATTTGGGTTGTACCCAAGGGTCAAACGTTACAAATGCATTTTGATCTCAATGTCAAAGTTGCCGTTTGTTTCTCTCTTATCTAATGTGAGGGTACCCCAAACACTCAAACCGCTTGTAAAAAAGTGTAAATCTATTTTCATGTGCTTCCTGAAATTATACATAGTATCAAATAATAAAATTCAAAACTAGACTGTTAATATTCCTACATATAAAAATACTGTTCATTTGTTTATTCATCGATCCTTGTCAGATTAAAAAACTCCATGAAACCTATTGATGCAAGCGTCAAAAATCGGCCGCAAACCAATTTATCGGTCCTTTCAAAAAGAAATTAGAAAAGGAATGAAAATGAGATTACAAACAACAATCAAGCACAAAAAATTCCATTAAAACTGAAATGCTTGATCTATTATTAAAATATCTTATATTTATACCTGCGACATAAAACATATGCATGCGACATAGCAGGATTTTCTTCAATACATAATACAGGTACATCTGCGTCTCCACACGTAGTTTGATACACAGGCGAGTTCTGGTGGAAGTTTTTACAATTAAATATAAAACTAAAGTTTAAACTTATCTGTAACTAGAGATAGTTTTTACTTTAATAAAAGAAGCAATTGATAAGTGGGGTTCCTCGATCACTCTCCGCGGATGTTAAAGCCCCCCCCCCAACTCCCTCTAGATCCGCCACTTAATTTCTTCTCGTTCTAACCGGCGGGAAAAGGCTCAGCATATTGTAAAACATGCTTTATCATCGTCTGTTGGAACAAAATCTCCTAATATTCTGTCTGATAAAAAATTAATAGTAAATCACATTTTTTTTACATATTCCGTAGGAAATGTATTTATATACACGTCATTTAAAAAAATATTAGACAAATCCTGTTTATTTAGAAAAAGTAGAACTGTTTGTTTATACGTGTATGTGACGCGATCTTTGTTTTAGACTATGCCTATCCTTGCGGTCGGTGTAACGCCGAGTCGCTCTAAATATAGAATTCTCAAGGTAATGAAAACAATTCCACCGATAGATGGTGCTTGAGAAATCTTTCCTGTTTACATTCCATGGGCAAGACAATCCCTATACACGGAGGCTGTCATACAGCCTCCGTCTAAAAATGGATCGAATAGTAGAAAAACCCAATCAGGAGTACTACAAGTGGATCTTATTACCCATGGACATCGATTTAAAAAAAAAACAAACAAACAAAAAGTGTATGTTTAGATATTGTTCATCTTCAACATGTTCAATAAATTGTTGATTATCATGAAGAAAAAGAGTAAAAGATTTCGCCTCACCGACCATTGTTACTTATACTTGTAGGTAAATCTGTTTATGTGTGACGCTTCTGATTTCTTTATTTCTTTAGCTCCAATATAAGACAATATTACAGTCACTGTGGATTAGCTACTATTTGCAAGCGTGTACGTCAAAGCATTCACATTTACATCCCCCTTAGAAAGGACAAAAAAGGAAAAAAAGAAAAATGTTTTTTAATACATTTGTTTCAGTATATTCAAATATAAATTCAAGATTTTACATTATCCACACACTGTACACTCTGGGACACAATCAAAGACTCCTTAATGTTGTCAATCCCCCCCCCCCCCCCCGCATTGTAGTACCTGTTAATGCTGCTCCAGACCCCTTTGCTTGAGTCAGAAAAGCATCTACATTATCTTTGCCCAGTTATACCACTGAAATAAACATATACAACCAACCTGTTAATTTTTTAAACACTTCATGCAAGTAAATTAAAATTTAATTATAAAGATTAAAATTTTCATTTTAAAAAATACCCTGCTTAAAATCTGCAATCAATTTTGAACAGAATGATTGTATTAGCAAAATTTGACAGTCATGTAGATTTCTAAAAGTTGGTCCATCGTAAACCACATGCCTAGATCAGATAATAAATCTATTATCATATCATGGCATAAGAAGGGACATACAGTAATTAATTTTATTTTTTTTAATCCTTAAAAGCAATCAAAATAAGTAAAAGAACAAAAGTTTTTGTTGTTGTTTTTTGGTTTTTTTTTAAATTTAAATAGGCCTATTGCTGAGCATTTCAGTGTAAAATCTATAGAAAGCAATGCAAGTTTTTTTTTGGAGGGGGGGGGGGTTGCAAATATTTTTATAGTAGGACTATCAAATAGACACAACTTTCAAGTATCAAGCTAAGAATTTATCTACAGAGTTTATTTATGTTTTCACTGAGGGAGCTTAAGCATAAAGTGAGCATATACTTATTATGTTTACACGGTTAAATACATATCGACAAAATTGGGGGGGGGGGGGGGGGGGGAGTACGGTCCCTCAAGCCTCCCCTTCCGGTTCCTACGGCCATAACAAAGATGAACTCTATATGCACCTGGAGCAATTTCCCAAATAAATAGAATGTTCCGAAAATAAAAATTCATTGGCGTTTAGAACTTCTTAGTTACATTCAGGTTAATGTACTTGTAATGCTAAAATGTTACTGAAGTATTAAAGTACTTTGAATTAGGTTTCATTCACAAACCAAAAGAAAACTTGTAAATGTTATTACATGATTGCATATTTATCCCCCCCACAAGTATTTGTAACAACTGTGTGTGTGTGTGTGGTTTGCTATAGTCCCCTTTCCCCGCTTTTCGGCTAAATCTGCGTCTTTTTAAATACTTTTTGTGTTGCCTGTAGAGCAGAGCGGCACTTAGGGATCATTTTACACAGTGTCTGTCTGTCCGTCTGTCACACCTTGTACTAGTACTTCGAGAACTATAAGTATATGGATTTCATATTTTGCACATATATATAGCTTCTTTGAACTTGACCTTTGACCTACTTTCTGAAATGGCTGACAGTGCCGATGTACAATTTTTTTTACAAGTACGAGGTAAGTCTATATGCTACTTGTATTTAACATGCAGATTGTTTGTTATAAAACTGTTTTAAAATATATCAGCATTACAGTCCACTTGACCTTTGACTTACTTTGCGAAATAAAGTCTCTTTTGGATTCTTTCAATTACGTATTAATTAATTGATAAATAATTATTTATAACATAGGCGTCGGAACCGGGAAGGGGGGGTGGCTTAAGTTAGCGCCCCTCCCCCTCTTTCAACATGTACATGTACGTTCTACTTTGGGTCAAAAAAGTGTTTATAAAAAATGGTACTGTAAGACGTTCGATCCTACCCCCTACCCCCCACCTCGCCGAAATAGGATTTTTTTTTCGCTTGTCATGGTTTTTGCAGTTCTTGAAATTTTTATGCGCCCGAATTTATTCGGGGCGTATATTGTTTTTGTCCAGTCTGTCTGTTTGTATGTTTATCTGTCTGTTGTCAACTTTAACCTTCGCCATAACTTTTGAACCGTGAGAGACAGAGACTTCGTATTTGGTATGCATACTCCATTAATTAAACACTTTCAACTGACATCAAGGTCACTGACCCTTTGACCTTGACTGTAACCTAAATGCTAAATATAGCTTTCTCGAACTTTCGCCATAACTTTTTAACCATAGGAAATAGTGACTTTATATTTGGTATGCATACTCCATTAATTAAGTGCTTTCAATTAAATGACACAAAGGACAATGATCGTGTGACCTTGACTGTGACCTATTCGCTAAGAATTGTTTTTTAGAACTTTGTTAATTGCCGCCGGGCGCATAGTGTTTCACAAACGCATCTTGTTTTCTCTCTTTCACTCACCCCCACCCCCAAATTTTACGATCCGTAGATCGTTTTTTTCCTTTTTGCATAAACTATACATACACGAGAAATTGAAAAGCTGACCACTCTTAGATTTACTTACATCTTTAATGAAGCTAAAAACAGGCAACACATGGTGTTCCTTGGAACACTCTAGTTTTGAAATTACTTGTCACATACATGTATGACATTTTCTTGATTTTCTGCACTTGAAATCGTAAAAAAATGTGCTAATTTTGAATTCGTATTTCAGCAAAAACGAGAATCAATGTAAATAACTTAATAATGAATTTTTAGTGTTTTTCTTTAATTTTGTTTGTTTTGGGGTGTTTGTTTTTAAGAATTCGATCTTAATAATTTAAAACTATATAAAGACGTAGTGTTAATAAACGTAAGAGTTACCGTAATATCTTTTGTATTCCAGATAGTGTTGATTGTAAAGAAAACGTGCATATATTTTGTCTAAAAACCTCTTTTCGATAAGCGAAGACGGGGGCTTATTTCCAGAACGTTTCCTTAGCAAAATTCAATAAATTAGTGTTGAATTTATAATTAAAATACTTTTTATTAATAGTACTCATTCTCTTTTCCGAATATTTATGAGTAGTAATTTTAGACAGCGTAAAACAAAACAAGAAACAATCTGTTTATTGTTAAAAACGTTTACACTGTATATTTTTCATATCCTTTTACATAAGAATCTTTGCGAAATTACGCGGATTTTTTTTACTGTGACGTAATACTAGCAAAGGAGCTGACGTCATTAAATCAGAATTGAAATGTCACTGTGTTCGTTATTTGTAAAATCATTACAATCAAAAATTATCTTTAGGATGTTGCTTATCATTAAAAGAATATTCAATGCATTCTGATACTTGACATGTAAGCAAAAGTTCTGGCGTATCGACTGCACAAATTAGACACAGTTCTGGCAGTAAGAGGGTTAAATGTGATGTTTTAAATACTGTAAAAAGAAATAAATTCAGTGAGTGGAACTTTACATCAAATTGTTGTTGTTTCTTCTTTTTTTTTTTTTTTGCATCTTATTTGTTATGTTAAAAACATTTTAAATAAATACTTAATTGTTATAACAGTATTTTTAAACTTCACCTGCATTTTGATATAACGTGCCCGTGTTGATGGATACACCTGGGTGCTGACCAAGACAGCTCACTGGCTCAACATGGTCAATATTTTCTGTTTTTGGTAACCCACGTCTCCATTATGTAATACACTGAGAAAAAAAACACCCCCCTTAGTTTACATGCAACACACAGTCATAAAGCAATTAAATAATTGTTGATTTTATGCATCCCTCACCTTTAGTTAGGCCCTAGAACTTGCAGACGTCAGACTTCTCTTTCCAGTGACGTCACTGGTAACGTACATGTAATACATAAATGGAGGCTGGAAAATTCCGGAAGGTATATTTTATAAGTTTTATACGGGCGGTACCTACTGTATATTTGATAATTATCTAGATGAATCATTTACTCCCTTTTGAGATTTGTTGTGAAATTATCGTGAATTTCTTTCTTTTTTTAAAATATATTTTTGCTCTTGAATTCGGATTGATTATATCTACCGATGACCGAGTTCAATTTTATGTGCCTCTGCCGATATCCGATACATATGACGAGATTGATTGGAGAACTTTTTATGTAAACTTTGTTAACTGTTTTTAGAGTAAATTTTAAACCAATGCGAACTGATACATTATGCCAGACATGAAAGTGGACGTAAGGCCATAAGGTAAACAATATGAAATAAATTGAAACATTAAATACGCACACGACAAGTCAACAACGCACACACATGAATGCTTCAGCAGTGTTCAGTTGTGATTGGGTTTAACCAAATATCATAATAATGTTTAATTATGTCAAAAAAGATATTTTAGATTTTAAAATATTATAATTATTAAAATACATGCAACTTCTGATCTAAGGACCCGTTATACATGTTATAAGAAGGATTTTATAGATGGTCATATCACTATGATTGCTCTTCTTCCTGAATAACAGGTTAAGCCCTAAGTGCCTATTGATTGTTATGTTAAATAATATCTTGATTAGGCCTAGTTCTCCAAAACTTAAACTATTAAGGAAAAATAGTTAGTTGTGGAAGTCAGCCATACCTTTATACAAAATGTTCCTGTATTTTAAGTGAAATTATGTAGTCCCTAGCAACAATAAATGTTTAACACATTGGATTTTTTTCTCTTTATAGCAAAAACTAAATTATAATTTGATTAAAAAAATAAATTTGAAATAAAATAAAAAGGATTAGATTTATAGTCAACCTACATTTAACATACATGTATGTAATAATATGAATTTACAAAATATACAGCCTTCTCATTCTCAAACATAGGTTTTCACACACATGTAAAACACCTTTTGCCTGATAATACACATACTATATTCATCAACATATGTAATGAGAGCTTTAGAATACAAGTAAACCATAATTTATTTATGTACATTAGTATATTTAATGTGTGGTTTATAATGCACATAAACTATATATATATACATGACATTTGTGCTTTATAAAACACATGTAAACCATGAGTTCATTAACGTACGTGTAACATGTGGTTGACTATACACATGTAAACCATGTGTTCATTAACGTACGTGTAACATGTGGTTGACTATACACATGTAAACCATATGTTAATTAACGTACGTGTAACATGTGGTTGACAATATACATGTAAACCGTACGTTTATTAACGTACGTGTAACGTATGGTTGCACATAACATATGTTACACGTACGTTTCACGTACGTAACACATACGTGTATTCCAAACATACGTTTAACGTACGTTATGTGAAACGTATGTAGTCACACATATGTTATACGTACGTTGTACCACATACGTGAAACGTATGTTTGTAATACACGTATGTGATACGTACATTTCACATACGTGAAACGTATGTTTGTAATACACGTATGTGATACGTACGTGGCACAATTAGCTGTGTATGATTCATATATGATCCACATATGATCCTCATATGAATGGCAATGCATATGTGGATCATATGTGGCTAAATTGCCTATGTATGATTAGGTCATTCAAAATACCAGTAATTTATATATGGAAAATGTAATTAAAATGCAGCATTCAAAGATGAAATTGATTTTTTGAAGCCATTTTATTTCAGTGTAACTCTACACCATAGCTAAAAGTATTGATCATGCATCAGATGATCACACTCAAAATTGGATTTGATTTAATATTTAAATGAGTGAATAGCTTAATTTCTTTTATAAACAGCCCTTTACTACGTACATGCAAGCCCTATCAAACCATTTATAACTCTTGCCTTTAATCAAGTTAATACGTCAGTATAAATCATAAATACATGAAGGTGTTCATCAATGAGGAAACATTTTACTGTAATAATCATTAATGGGACTTACTTGCAGGTGAAATCATTAGATTTCGTGGTGGCTCAGTGTTCATTGAATTCGAGGTACACTCCATCCATGAATTACATCCTCCACAAATAACGGTTACAAAGTGTTAAATATGCTAACTGTAGGTTCAACACACAAAATAACCTCCCCACGAATCTGTAAAATTGAATTAATGCCCGAAAATTGTCCCCATGAATTTTCATGATTCCTCAGTAAGTAATATACTTAATTAGCAATCATGAAAATATTAATGACTCAAACTGTGAAAATGTCATATCATGTGGTGACTTTATCCTCGTATTGAATATAACATTAGTATATTTATAATTATCCCGCTTCAGACAAATTTGTAGACAATTGATTGGATGAGAACTCATCACATGACGCCCTGAAATTTTCAATATTACGTCTCCGAGTAGGGGGTGTATTAAAAATCGGGCACGCGATTCTGTTCGTAACGAAGCTAGGGTAAACAAACATGGCGGCTAATAAACGGTTCGCGCAGACGACCGAGCAAGAACTTGAAGAAAAAAGAATCAAACTTAATTCCAGGAACACAATTAAGTGCAACAATAAGGCTGCAAATACTTTAAGAGATTACTTAAAGGAAAAAACGCAGGATACAGCATTTGAACAGTTTGATGAGGTCCAGTTGAATGAGGTGTGAGGACATTTTCACATCGATGCTCGGAAGCCAAACGGGGAGAAATATAAAACAACCTCTCTTGAGAATATTCGCCATGGACTAAACAGGTTTTTAAGATCTCCTCCTCATAATAAGTCCTTTGATATAATTAAGGACAGCGCATTTAAGGATGCTAATCAAAACTTCAAGGCAATGATGGCAGAACTGAAGAGAGAGGGACTGGGGACTATTACACACCACCCCGTAATTGACGAATCAGACAGGACGAAATTATACACGTCTATATACCTAAACCCAGCAACACCTAGTGGACTATTCAACAAGGTTCACTTTGACATCAGATTATACTTTTTCAGGTTAGTACATTGTATTAAAATCTTCACTGCAGGTAATTTGTTAAGGTTTTATTCACTGATTTAACTTTTGTTATGACTAATGCTCATCAAATACAGAATACCGGTAACTTATGTTGACATAAATTTCTTGTTTCAGAAGGGGCTGTGAGAATATCACAGATATGACAAAAAACACTTTTGTTATACGAAAGGATCTTAAGACAGGCTTACGATTTGTTACCAAGGATTTGGACGAAATGACCAAGAATCACAGGGAATGTGATAAAGAAAACATCTCGCCAATAATGCCTGAGACATCAGATAAATAAATTTTGGATTTAATAAAATAGAATAGTTCAGTTTTATTTTTTTTAAAAGAATGCTTTTTTAAATTTATATATATGAGATTTAATGTGATATACTATAATACAAGTTTAATTTATTACACTTAGGTTCACCTTATTGT